TTTATCTACTTGCACTTTGACGTGCTCTCGAACTTCTATGTTGGCAGGAGCAGGGACCGAGCAACGGGAGCTCACCCCGTCGTGGGGATTCGAACAGCCGACCTTCTGATCGGCAAGTCCTAGGCTCTGTGGTTTAACCCACAGTGCCACCCGCGTCCCCTTCGAGCAGGGACTCTTCCCCAAATCTATAACCCTTCTCCTTAGCCTGCTGTGGGGCTAAAGTCGCCAGAGTCCTCCTCAAACCTTCAGGGTCCACGACTTCCGTCCTCCAAGCTTCTAACAAGATGCTAACGAGGTTTATTGTCCTAGTCCGTCCCAGAACAGGCACTCAATGAAGTGACCTGCTGTGATGCTTTGGGGGAGGCAAGGAAACACCTCTCCCCAGAGCCTCTTCTCCCTCGCAGCCATAAATCCAGCAGCCAAAGCATCCACCTCCCTTCCGACAACAAGCTTCTAGGGTTTCCTTCCTGTGTGATCACAGCATATGTTACCTTCCTCTCCCCCCCCACCCCTTTCCAAGGGCATGACTGACGGGGTGCAGCTGGGGTTCCCCTGTGCGATGCCAATAAAACCCAAACCACGCTCAGTTTTTATCCCTTGGAGGGCAGCATGATGAGCGCAGCAAAATTTGCAGAGAAGGCTAGGCAAAAAATGGTTGGCCGGGAGGGAAAATGGGGCCATCGGGCGCGGGAAAAGCGTCTCGCCATTTCAGGCTGACTGAACGGTTCGGGAAAGGGCGAGCAAAATGATAGAGGGGATGGAGCGAATCGCCTAGCAGGGAAAGTGGCAGCAGTGGGGGGCTTTTCAGCTTAGAGAAAGGGCAAGGAAGAGGAGACCTGATAGATCAGGGGTCAGCAAACTTTTTCAGCCGGGGGCCAGTCCACCGTCCCTCAGACCTTGTGGGGGGCCGGACTATATTTTGGGAAAAAAATATGAACGAATTCCTCTGCCCCACAAATAACCCAGAGATGCATTTTAAATAAAAGCACACATTCTACTCATGTAGAATTACTCAAGGCAATAAACAACTATTTTACTTTTAAAAGACAACAGAAGGCGGCCCTGTTTAGGGAAGTTTTTAATGTCTGCCGCTGTATTGTTTTTAATATTCGGTTGGAAGCCGCCCAGAGTGGCTGGGGAAACCCAGCCAGATGGGAGGTGTATAAATAATAAATTATTATTATTGTTATTATTATTATTATTATTATTATTATTATTATTATTATTACTATTTAAAAACACGATGATTCCCGGACCATCCACGGGCCAGATTGAGAAGGCGATTCAGCCGCATCCGGCCCCCGGGCCTTAGGTTCCCTACCCCTGTGATAGATGTTTCCAAAATTATGCCTCAATTAAAAGAGTTGTGGGGAAAGGAGACAACAGGCCAGACAGATAGTCAAAACAGAGGGGAAGGGGAATAGGGGAGAATTGCACGTTGAAAATGTTGTCTAGACGAATAAAAGAAAATGTTCTAAATTAGTTTGGAGATGGTATATAACAGGGGTGTCCAACTTTCAAGAGACTGGGATCTACTTCTAGGTAGGTCCTGCAACTAGGTAGATCCTGTGATAGACAGGTAGATCGCGATCGACCTGTTAGGCACCCCTGGTATATAACACCAGTCAAATGAAATCGAATAAACAAGGGATATTCGGCGTTATGTTGGAGGGGGTGCCAGGAAACCGGGAATTATGTTCACATATGGTGGGGGTGATGTATTTCCCAGTAGTGATGTATGGAAGTGAGAGCTGGACCATAAAGAAGGCTGATCGCCGAAGAATTGATGCTTTTGAATTATGGTGCTGGAGGAGACTCTTGAGAGTCCCATGGACTGCAAGAAGATCAAACCTATCCATTCTGAAGGAAATCAGCCCTGAGTGCTCACTGGAAGGACAGATCGTGAAGCTGAGGCTCCAATACTTTGGCCACCTCATGAGAAGAGAAGACTCCCTGGAAAAGACCCTGATGTTGGGAAAGATGGAGGGCACAAGAAGAAGGGGACGACAGAGGATGAGATGGTTGGACAGTGTTCTCGAAGCTACAAACATGAGTCTGACCAAACTGTGGGAGACAGTGGAAGACAGAAGTGCCTGGAGTGCTCTGGTCCATGTGGTCACGAAGAGTCGGACACGACTAAACGACTAAACAACAACAACATGGTGGGGGTGTAAATATGTACATTTTTTCTGGCAAAGGGTGTTTAAGGAGATAGCAGAAACCACGGGGTTAAAGCTGACCAAAATTCCAGAGGAAGCATCATTATCAATTTACGACGGGGTGGAAGGTTCGCAGGCTTTGAAGGACTTGCTCACAAACTGATTGACAGCCGCACAAATTATGATAGCTAGGAAGTGGAAGGGGCAAGCAGAATATAAAATGAAAGAGTGGTATGAAGAGGTGTGGGATATAAGCTATTAATGATAAATTAACACATGCCATTAAGGTAAGACGGGGAATATACAGGAGAAATGATTTTCAGGAGATGTTTGTAGAATTTGTACTGTTCAAACGAAAAGGGGTAAAACCATCGCAAGAGGTGTTGAAATTTTGGGAGGTTGGATGGTTACAATGGAATGGTCTCGATGGTGGGGTGCACGTTTTTATTCTTATTTATTTGTGATTATTACTTTGCCAAAATAAAATGGGAAAAAATGAAAAAAGTATGCCTGGCATGGAGAAAATGGATGGAGAAACGTTGGGGTTTTTTTCCCAAACTCATGGAAACCCCATGAAACTGAATGTTGGAGTACAGTGGACGCTCGGGTTGCGAACGTGATCCGTGCGGGATGCACGTTCGCAACCCGCAGTGTTCGTAACCTGAGGTATGACTGTATTCGAGAAAGATAAAAGAAAGGACTTCTTCCCACAACACAGGGTTAAACTAGGACACTCCCTCCCCCAGGAGGCAGGGATGGTTTTAAAAGAGGTTTGGACATATTCAGGGAAGAAGAGACTGTTACCAGCTAGGATGGCTATGTCCTCTCTGTCTCCAAACTCGGAGGCAGAAATACTTCTGAATGCCCGTTTCTGGAAACCATAAGAAGGGAGAGTCGCTCTTGCCGGCCACAGTGAAAGCAGGATTGCTGGACCAGAAGGGCCCCTGGCCTGATCCTGCAGGCTCTGCTTCTGTTCTAACTTGCATGCATCCAGTAAAACGTTTAAATCACAGCCTTAGCATCATGCAAACAGGGGCAATTTCCTTATCACAAAAGTCAAATGGCAGAGGGAGGAGCGGGTTTGTTGCGCAAGAGCACTAAATCCACTTTAATTGTGCAAGCCGAGTTTGTCTGGTGTGCGGCTGAATCCCACTTGCAACAGATGCAGCCCAGCAGTGCCCATCTGGGTCTGCAACTTTTCTTCTCTGTTTTAAGTTTTCATCTGTAAATAAGTACACACAGAGGGACGCGGGTGGCGCTGTGGGTTAAACCACCAAGCCTCTTGGGCTTGCCGATCAGAAGGTTGGCAGTTCGAATCCCTGCGACAGGGTGAGCTCCCATTGCTCGGTCCCTGCTTCTGCCAACCTAGCAGTTCAAAAGCACGTCAAAGTGCAAGTAGATAAATAGGTACCTCTCCAGTGGGAAGGTAAATAGCATTTCCGTGCGCTGTTCTGGTTCGCCAGAAGCGGCTTAGTCATGCTGGCCGCATGACCCAGAAGCTGTATGCCGGCTCCTTCGGCCAATAAAGCGAGATGAGCGCCACAGCCCCAGAGTCAGTCATGACTGGACCTAATGGTCAGGGGTCCCTTTACCTTTAAGTACACACACACACACACACACACACACACAACTCCAGTGATTTCCTGCACAACTTTCATCAACTTTCCTCCATGAAAACGGACCCGCAGCAATGAAGCCGTGCTTCCTCGATGTGGTCTAGAAGCATGCCCAGCCATGATTTGAAAACAGTCAACTTCAAAACGCATTCTTCTTTCCAAGCAGGACTTTCTTTGCAGAGTTCAATGTCCCAAGTTGAAATCTGCCCCTGTCTACCATACCGAAATGGAATTTAAGGAGAGAATAGGCCCATTAGACTCAATGTTCTTCAATCCAAACCCCAGTTAAAGGCGGCCTGTGCCTTTTCATCAGAGCAGATAGGATTAGCAGGTCAATTGCCAAACCCAAAGCACAATCTCTTCCTCAGCACTCAGCCCCCCTAAATTCAATGGGACTTCATCCCAGGTATGCAAACCAAATATACCGAAAACAGGTCTGCATGAATGTAGCCAGAAAGGCCCAATCAGGATCAGAACCACACCATATAAAGTAAACCCAAAGAGTTTGCACTGAATTGTATTATTTACTTGATGAATTTAATTAATACTACATTTTTATATATCATTATAGGTATATTACCAATGGAAATAAAAATATATATCAGACCATTGTTTATGTACGCAATTACGGCAGCCAGAATAATAGTGGCAAGAAATTGGAAGAATGAAATCTTAACCAACGATTACAGAGTGGAAAATTCTTATGATAGAATACCTGCAGCTAGCAAAATTGACTGGAAAAATTAGAGGAGGAGTGTCAAACCGGAAGGTATATAGGGAATGGAAAATATTTAAAGAATACCTTAAAACGTACTGTACGAACAAAAAGATACTTGCAGAAATAGAGTGATACTGGTAACCATGGATTACATAAAATATAATAGTGGATTATATATATATACACACACAAAAAAAATAATATGAATCTGTGCAAGGAATACAGATAATATAAGTAGTATAATGAGAATTATTGGAAGTTATATATTTTAATCTGTCATGTAAGTGTAATATATTGTATTTGTTTATGTTTGTTTCTTTATCTTTTCTTATTTCATCGTTTCTATTCATTTGTATCGTTTTCTGTTTTATATGTTATGTAACTCGTTTATATTTGTCTATGTGAAAATTAATAAAGATTTTCTTTTTTAAAAAAGTAATCGTAGAATTGTAAAGTTGTAAAGGACCCTGATGATCTAGTCCAACCCCCTGCAATGCAGGAAAATGCCGTCGCATATGGGGAATCGAACCCACAACCGTGGGAGTTATCAGCACCCCGCTCTAACTAACTGAACTATCCACCTGTCGTTAGTCATTACAATTAGCAGTTGTCACGTTTGTTCGTTTTTAACGCTACAGTGGTGCCCCGCAAGACGAATGCCTCGCAAGACGAAAAACTCGCTAGACGAAAGAGTTTTCCGTTTTTTGAGTCATTCCGCAAGACGAATTTCCCTATGGGCTTGCTTCGCAAGACGAAACGTCTTGCGAGTTCTTGCAAGTTTGTTTCCTTTTTCTTAAAGCCGCTAAGCCGTTAATAGCCACTAAGCCGTTAATAGCCGCTAAGCCGCTAATAGCGCTAATCCGCTAAACCGCTAATGGGCTTGCTTCGCAAGACGAAAAAACCGCAAGACGACGAGACTCCCGGAACGGATTAATTTCGTCTTGCGAGGCACCACTGTACTGTTGTTGTATTCTGAGCCACTTTGAGCTGAACGGTTGTTGTTGGGAAAGCAGGGTGCAAAGATTAAATAAAGATTTTTAAAAATCACCTTTCCGAAAAGCCGGTTTTTCTCCCAGGAGAGTCTTCTAGTGGTATCAACAGAAATGTCTCTCCTGTGGCAAAAAGCAGTTTTATGGTGGAAGGAGCTATTTTTAACAAGACAGTGACATGGAGAAGGAAAGAAGGTCTTCATTCTTCCTCTGCCCTTTCCACAAAGCTGGTCACCTAGCTGTCTCTCTCAGCTGCTATTTGGTTTTTTGAAAAGTTTAAATGTTTTCTGCATTCCATGCCATAAAATCAAGTTTGGCCCTAAGCAAAAAAATGGATTACAGGGCAGGCAGACATCCGGGACACACTAAGTGCGCACCAATTGCAAAAAGTAGACTTTAACTACCAGGATGGTTCCTTGCCCTGCTGGAACTTAAAAATAAGAAATTAGGATCCATTGGGAGCAAAGTTCCCAACAGCGCAGGCTTGGTTCCCATAGAGGCGACAGACTTTTTTGTGGTGGGGTGAGATGGGATCTACGTAAATGTAGTGACTGCCACCAACACAGATGACTTTTTCAAGAGGACTACTAGATTGAGAACAATTTGGGAGTCCCACAGGAGCCCAAAGGGACTTGAAAGGGAGGTGGCCAGGGTGGTTAAAAATCAATGATTAAAAAAAATAAATCGGATTTTTAAAAATTTAAATCAGTTTTTTTTAATTGGATTTTTCAAATAAAATGCTTTTGGAGTTAATTTTTTTTCTAAAGATAGTTTTCTATTTAAGTTACATTATATACCATCAGGAAATAAGGATTTGTTTAAGTTTTTCATGTGTGCTAAAACTCAGTCTAAGGTTTTGTTTTTAATTGTTTAACCACATTGGTTAACAAGGATACATATGCTATAATGTTACTGTTTTAGTTAAACAAATTGTTTAAATTGTTATTAAGGAAATTGTTATTTTTCTCCTTCCAATAAAGTACAGCGGACACTTGGGTTGCGAACGTGATCCGTACGGGAAGCGCATTCGCAACCTGCAACATTCGCAACCCGCAGCGCCGCGTCTGCACACGCGCAGGTTGCGATTCGGCGCATGCGCAAGCACCGAAACCAGGAAGTAACCCGTTCCAGTACTTCCAGGTTCAGCGCGGTGCACAACCCAAAATCGCACAACCCAAAGCGTCTGTAACCCGAGGTATGACTGCATAGCAGAAAAGTTGTCTGAATATAAACAGTTAACTTATTAAACCTCACAATAATTTCATAATTATCCGTCTATGTATTTCTAATAGTGCAACCAAATCAGTAATGTTTGATATAACTGTAAAAACTATGAAATTTTATTATTCCAAAGACGAAACCTTCATCTGGTTGTAAATATTATACCAGCAAGAATGAGTCTGTCTGTTAAGAAATAATAATGGTTTAAATCAAGTCTTATTGACTAGTGATTTAAATCGTGATTTAAATCAATTTGATTCAAATCAAATCCACCCTGGTGGTAGCCCAGTCTGTGGACAATCCCAAATAATAGCATCCTCCGTCCCAAAAAAGAGAGGAGAGAATGATGATTAAGAGGTGCCAAGTCTCTTCTTCAGAGTCAGACAGAAGCTAGTCCAGCCAATCCAATTTCTATATTTATTATTTGAGAAGCAATTTCTCCATCAAGGAAGAAGGCTAGGATTCAAAAGGCAATTATTAGTAGCATAATCATGCCATCGTACAGGATCAGGTTCAAGGTGCTGGTTTTAACCTTTAAAGTCCTATACGGCCATGACCCTTGTACCTACGGGACCACCTCTCCTGGTATGTCCCACGGAGGACCTTACGGTCTTCAAACAAAAACATCTTGGAGGTCCTGGGCCACAGGGAGGTTAGGCTGGCCTCAACCAGAGCCAGAGCTTTTTCGACTGTGGCCCCGATCTGGTGGAATGCTCTGCCAGAAGAGACCAGGGCCCTGCGGGACTTGACATCTTTCCGCAGGGCCTGCAAGACAGAGCTGCTCCACCAAGCCTTTGGCCAGGGCACAGCCTGACTCCCTCCTTTGACAATCTTCACAGAACTCTAGCCCAATGGTTGCCATCAATTTGATTTGAATTAATTTTATAATTTTATAATGAAATGATTTTAAAATGTTGTATTATTTTATTGTTGTTAGCTGCCCTGAGCCCGGCTTCGGCTGGGGAGGATAGGATATAAATAAAAAATTATTATTATCATCATCATCATCATCATCATCCCTGTTGTCCTCCTCCGGTACTTTTGCACAGCTGTTGAACCCCATTTTTTGCCCCTCTACGGGTCGAGCCCAGAAAGGCACTCTGTGCATGCTCAGAGGCATCTGCACTGTCACTGCCCTGCATATTCTAGGGCAGTGTTGGCCAAACTTGGCCCTCCAGCCGTTTTTTGGACTACAACTCCCATCATTCCTAGCTAACAGGACCAGTAGTCAGGGATGATGGGAACTGTAGTCCCAAAACAGCTGGAGGACCAAGTTTGGCCAACACTGTCCTAGGGCAAAGGGGTTGCGACTGAAATTAAGCCCCAAGGAGTTGGAAAGAGAGGCTCTCTGGCAGCCGATCCATTGCATCCTCATTGGCTCAAGAGTTGCTGGAGAGGAAATTCAATGGCCAGAATTAGAGGTGTGGATCCTCTGAGGCACCACTTCACGGCTGCTTGTATATTAACTGCTCCCCCCCCCCAAAAAAAAACCCTTACCCACCCCAATCCCCCATCTGGACAACAGTCAAGAGACACACACCCCCTCATTATCAGCAGAAAAACCAGGCCTTTCATAATTAAAGCAAGTATAGTGGTACCTTGGGTTACATACGCTTCAGGTTACATACGCTTCAGGTTACAGACTCCGCTAACCCAGTGCTTCAGGTTAAGAACTTTGCTCCAGGATAAGAACAGAAATCGTGCTCCGGCAGCGCGGTGGCAGTAGGAGGCCCCATTAGCTAAAGTGGTGCTTCAGGTTAAGAACAGTTTCAGGTTAAGTACGGACCTCCGGAACGAATTAAGTACTTAACCCGAGGTACCACTGTACAGTCATACCTCGGGTTACAGCTGCTTCAGGTTGCGTTTTTTCGGGTTACGCACCCGCTGAAACCCGGAAGTACCTGAACAGGTTACTTCCTGGTTTTGGCGGTCACGCATGCCGAGAAGTGCTAAATTGTGCTTTGCACATGCGCCAAAGTGCCGAATTGCAACATGCGCGTGCGCACACGCGCCGCTGCGGGTTGCGAACGTGCATCCCGCACGGATCACGTTTGCAACCCGAGGGTCCACTGTACTGTATTGGGGGGGGGGAGATAGTCAGGAATTCACCCCCCAGCTTAGTTCTTGCAAGGCATTCAATTAATTCAAAGTGTTGGTGCTGACCTTTAAAGCCCTAAATGGCCTCAGAAAAGTATACCTGAAGGAGCGTCTCCACGCCCATCGTTCAGCCCGGACACTGAGGTCCAGCACCGAGAACCTTCTGGCAGTTCCCGCATTGCGAGAAGCAAAGCTACAGGGAACCAGGCAGAGGGCCTTTTTGGTGGTGGCACCCACCCTGTGGAACGCCCTCCCAGCAGATGTCAAAGAGAACAACAACTACCTGACATTTAGAAGACATCTGAAGGCAGCCCTGTTCAGGGAAGTTTTTAATGTGTGACATTTTAGTGTATTTTTGGTCTTTGTTGGAAGCCGCCCAGAGTGGCTGGAGAAACCCAGCCAGATGGGCGGAGTACAAATAATAAATTATGATGATGATGATGATGAAGGGCAGCTGTGAGGGCTGAGCAAGACAGCTCCTGCTTCCATCAAACCTTTCCCTTCCCACATCACCTTCCCCCCATTTCCTGCTGGGGGGGATGAAAGGGAGGCTCAGCTGAGGTCCCTGACTTTCTGGGGGAGGGGGGAAATGGTGGGGGGAAGGCTCTCTCACAAGCCCAGGCCATCCATCCCCTTGCACAGGGCTAGTTTCCCAAATTCATTCTCTCTCTCTCTCTCTTTCACAGTTTTGCCATCCATGAAATGGGTAGAATGCAATTCCCTGGGCAGAACATCGTTGCGGGGAAGTTTATGGCCCAATTCTCGCAAACAGTGAGCGGCTGAACCTGCACCTGGACTGAACACCCCTAATAATAATAATAATAATAACAACATATTATATTTATGTCTCTACTTTATAATATAATAATATATTATAAAGCAGAGACATCACCTTGCCAACAAAGGTCCGCATAGTTAAAGCTATGGTTTCCCCAGTAGTGATGTATGGAAGTGAGAGCTGGACCATAAAGAAGGCTGATCACCGAAGAATGGATGCTTTTGAATTATGGTGCTGGAGGAGACTCTTGAGAGTCCCATGGACTGCAAGAAGATCAAACCTCTCCATTCACTGGAAGGACAGATCCTGAAGCTGAGGCTCCAAGACTTTGGCCACCTCATGAGAAGAGAAGACTCCCTGGAAAAGACTCTGATGTTGTTGGGTTTTTTGAAATTTTTCAGTGACAAATAAAAATAAACTGAATGAACCAATTGGAATAGAAGAAGTTAAAACGGCTATAAAAGAATTAAAAAGTGGGAAGACTCCGGGACCGG